GTAGCTGGGTGACGCGTGGCAACCTCAGTGTCTGCACTGGACCACAATGAAGTTGTTCTCACTGACTCCCTCACTCACGTGACACCTCGCGCGAAATCACGCCAGCAATGGGACTTGCTGATAATTTGGAGTACGGAGCCCGGTACCTTTAATCGAAACGCTCTGGTTCGGCGCAGACCGGCCGGCTCACGCACGTGGTCCAAAGACGTATCTGCACTGAGAGTACTAAAAGTTGCCGCAAGCACTGACGTTTCGATCACGTGTTAAGCCGACAAGGTGGGCTTCACTCGTGTGATGTAATGCTCCCTCCTTTATTTTTCTCTCTCAATGGATACTTCGTACCGTCCATAAAAATACGCCTTTTATATCTTCCACATTCCTCTCAACGTTCTTGGTAACGTGCAGTAATACATCATGACCGTGGCATCCACGATTAGTTCAACACGTCATTTCTAAGCATCGGTCTCATTCGGGACATTTCTAATAGAATTATGTGCAATTTTCTCAACGCCAAACAACCCCACCAGGTGGCGATCTTACCACAAGCGTTGGTGTCACTCATAGCGTTCATTCATACCGAAAGATAGCTCTGCAACGCATAGAGCAACACGCCTGCTTTGTCTGAATGTACTAATTTCGCACTTGCCGCTTACGCTGGCCCCACGAAAAATCATGGGCAGCCAGCCCAACATAGAGGACGCAACACGTATTGCGTTTCCCTCTGGTCGGGCCGTGGGGTTCAATAACTTCAACATGCCGCGAGTAGGTGGCCTTAGCCCAAGCTCGGCATCCAATCAGTCGCGTTATTCTGGCTGCCACATCGCTGTCCCTGGTTCCGCACTCACCTATGACCACAAGGGTTTAATCATTACTGGTGGATGTTAGCGTCAGAATTGGGACATATGACTAATAGTTAACGTTTATGCATCCTTTTAGCGGTGTTATAGCTGTCAAACACCAATAGACACAGTGCACGCTCTCTTATATCAATGTAAAGTAAGCATTAGGCTACTTCTCTCATGGCACATTTTACGTTTGTGTTCTACTGATTACTATGACGGAGGGATCAAAATGTGTTTTATCAGGCTCAGAGAAGCTCTCTAGTCCATAAACAGAAATTCCCGCAAAACAGTGACTACTTGGGCTGTTTGCTATTGCATTTTTGAAAAAAATATATACTTCTTTAGTACACAGGGAACGTTTCAGGAGGAAGATAGAGCAGAAAGATAGAACAGATCACACAGAAGTTACCATCATGATAAACTGGCACTAGTTCCATTCGTCTTGCTCTCCATCGCCTCTCCCAGAACACGTCCGCTGATTTGTCCAGCGCGCGATTCAATAAGCCTGATGCGCAAAAGAACGAGTACAAAGATAGTAAGAAAGCGAGAGGGAGAAATTGTTGGCGAACAAAGTTCCATAGCGAGGTGATATTTGAAGCTGCGTACACACTATCCGAGTAAAAACGTCAAAACCATTCGGCTAACCAGGCACGCTTGCATAGCATAGCCGTGTATAGTTCAATACATCAAGATGACGCCAAACGATAGGGAATTTGAGCAGGACGCAAAAGAGGAAGGGAGTAATGCATACAATAAAAGGACAGAGAAAGAAAGGAAAGACATAAAGGAAGAGAAAGAGGTGGGTATAGAAAGAAACAAATGTAAGAAATAAATAAACTAGAAAGCGCCAGAAGGAAATACTTAAAGAAATACATACAAAAAAGACAATAAAACATGAAAAAATAGGCAGCTTCACACTAGGGGTGTCATAACTTGTAGGAAGAGCATCGAGGCACGTTAGACACGAGCCCATGTGGCAGTTATCTTCGAAAACGAAGGAAGGCGTACGCGCCCGCGGAGAAAGATGCGTGCCTGTCTCGGAGGTGATAAGGTGTAGAATGCAAAGCGGCGATAGGTGCCACCACCGTGTCGTCTTATCAAAGCGTTGGAAACACTTGCCTTTGTGAGCATCGCGTTGCACCGTCAGCGAAGCGTGATAAACGCCACGGTCCTTAGAAATACTTGTGTGTATATAGTATAAAGGCACATATACAAAACATCGACGTGTTGTTATGGTGCCTCAGATACCTGCAATAATTGTTTTTAATTGACAATCTCAAAAGTGTGAACGCTGAAGCTTGAGCAATATTGATGGGTGCTGCGAAAGGGGTTAGCCGTTTGAGGTATCGTTTGTGTGCTGTTAGGAAGATCGCTACCACGGACAGACAGACAGACAGACAGACAGACAGACAGACAGACAGACAGACCAAAATTGTGGCATCGAAGGTCCCCAAGAAGGACTATCATCTTTAATAACTTGTAACAAACAAGGCCACCCAACTTCCCGCACTTTGACGAGGCGGTATCCCACGCTCTTTTTGCCAGAGCACACCGAGACTCCGACGACGTTCAGAAGGACATTGATTGATTGACATGTGGGGTTTAACGTCCCAAAACCACCGTATGAATATGAGAGACGCCGTAGTGGAGGGCTCCGGAAATTTCTACCACCTGGGGTTCTTTAATGTGCACCCAAATCTGAGCACACGGGCCTACAACATTTCTGCCTCCATCGAAAATGCACTAGCCGCGGCCGAGATTCGATCCCGCGACCTGTGGGTAGCTCAGAAGGGCAGTCTCCCGTGCTTCTCGGGAAGGGGTAGAAGAAGGGGGCAAGTGCGCGATTTCTGGCACATGCCCACAGCATGTGTATTATATCACAGGTCTCCGCACAGTGCGCGCACCGTCCATCCTTGCTTGGATCTACATGTTTCACAATAGCAGGACAAAGTAGAGTACCTGTCTGCAGGTGCCTTGGAGGTCGCTCCTCCGCCTTTCTCAGCCCCTTTGCAGGAGCCGAGGAGAGGTTTGACGTCACTAGTGCGTAGACGTCTTAATTTAATTGCCCTGCACGAATTCATAAATTATCACAGGAGCACATCACGCTTTACCCAGCAGTGACGTGCACGTTGTAAACCTGCCATTTACGCACCCGATATCTTCACTCACCAAAGTCATTGATATGAAACCATCCGTGATGTTTTGCCTACCTCCTTACGTATTGTCTCCAGTAAGTGGCCCTAGACGTATTCAGTAAATAAATGAAAAATTAATAAATTGATTGACAGATTCTCTTATGAATTGGCCTAAGACGAGTACAAGTCAAAGGGCATCGGACGAGCTTATATTATAACGATGTTAGAGTTTTACCAACTTAACTGTCACTAAGGTAATCTTCAATAATTAAATACGAGAAAACAATTTTACTTGTTGACCGAGTACTTATCTATTTAGCTCTTACCACACAACTGTTACTTATTCACTTTCCCATTTCTGGTATCTTTAACAGAAAGTTGTGCCTTATTCTGCTAAAAATGAACAAGTTAACTAGACCAAGTATTCAAGGTACTGCAAGTCACTTTCATAACTTTCACCAGTGAACTACTGATTATTATCATACATATGAACAGTCAAGCTATCGCTAGTTTTTGTATTGGCTTCGCTTCCCTGGGCTTCAGTAATAGGAATCTTCCTGACGCCGCTTTTGTTTTTACACTTTACAAGCTAGCTTCGGTTGCTCTGTGGAAGCTTCCTATGACTCACACTCATTCATATATATGCATAATTAAAAAATGCATATGCGCAGCGCAGGAACAGACACCCGCCCTCATTAAGGACACACAACCATGCGTGTACACTCACCCAACCAACCACACATTTTAACACACACGCACACACAACGCTCACACACGCACACACACACGCACACAACACACACACACACACCACACCCACCACACACACACCACACACACACACACACACACACACACACACACACACACACACCACACACACACACACACACACACACACACAACACACACACACACACACACACACCACACATACATACATACATACATACATACATACATACATACATACATACAGAGCATACATACATACATACATACATACATACATACATACATACATACATACATACAACATACATACATACATACATACATACATACATACATACATACATACATACATACATACATACATACCATACATACATACATACATACATACATACATACATACATACATCATACAGACATACATACATACATACATACATACATACTACATACATACATACATACATACATACATACACATACATACATACTACATACATACTACAAGATCACACGCGCTTGCGCACATCGCAACGATTGCCATCTTATACGTGTGGTGCGATCATATACGTTGGTCTGAGGCGGTAAGCAACGAGCTAAAAAATAGCCTACTTGGGTGACTACCACGGTACGCACGTTGCACAAACACATAGATAAGCACGTGTGACCAGTCCTGAGCAAATCTTCGAACACATACCTCCGTATTTACAAACGCTCCTCGACTCGACTTTCACCCTTCACTTGACAGAGTTGCACACTGTGCCGCTGCTTGGCTGGAAATGACGCTGCGCTACTCAACAATAGCAGCAAATTATCACTGATATGCAGTGACTTTCCCTGCCTAAAGATGGCGCTCCCATCGGCTTTCTCAAGTGAAGGCGGAGCGTTGAGTGAAGGGGCGTTCTAGAATACGGGGGTTAGACTCGTTCACACACGCGCCGGGGCAAATGACTAACGTTTTGTATGACGACAGCTAGCAACATCATCTAGTCCAAACCCACACCCTACTCATTGTATGCAAATTTCATGTGAGCAGTTGGGTGATTTGTTGTGGAAGCGTTCAGGTTGAAGAGACACGCTAGCTCTTCCGCTATAGCCTATTGCTGCATTCTGAATGATTATTTTGGTTAGTGTGTTAGGATCGCCCCTTCGTTCCGAGCTTTTTCGTTCCTGCGACATAAAATACTGAATAACACAATGATTTCATGCATTTGATAGGCTAGTATGTTTAGCGATATCACAGACATATGGATTTTTCTGTATACTACATTTACTTTTATTTTTGCAGGAGAGTCTTCGATTGTTTCCTTCGGTGCCTATAATTGGCCGAGAGATATACAAAGAGTTTTGTATAAGTAAGTCTTCTTCTATTTTTTTCTGTGCTTACATTTATAGCAAGCTCAACGCAGATGTGGGAAATGCAATGCAGGGTGAAAGGTATTTGTAGCGTTCCCATCAATACATGCTTCAAATCGTACGCTTCCGTGACTGTTGTTCTTGGTGCTGTCTTACACCATCTCAGAACAGCTAACGGGCTTCAGAATCCATATATGTAATTACTGCTGTGACGCCCCCCTACTGTCGACAATAGGCAGACGTAACTCATGCTGATATTTTTATCGCACCTTTTTTCTATCGCAAATGTCACGTATAGGTGTGGCAAGTGAATCGAGTGTTTTATTTTTTTAGCAGAGAGGTTCAGTAGGCTGCGCTACACAGCACATCAAATTCAGCACCAATGAAAGAAGGGCTTCTACACAAAATATCAGAGTTAGGGTGAACTAGCCCTGCAATTGTTGATCCAACGTAGTATATACTCCATGAACTCGTTGTGCACTTCCATGTGCAACGCGCAACAGAATATTAATTAAGCATGTCAAGAACGAGTATTACACAGGGCTTATCTGCTGGAGCACATTTAATCATAAAGAGTATTTCACCTAGTGGTCGGATACTGTGGAAACTCATAACGAATACTGATATAGCAAATTATTGGTTATAGCAAACTTAAGACTAAATTTAGTTGGCCTCGTTTGATTTCAATGACACTTGTTATCTCATCAGGAAAACCAAAAGGTGAACCCTGCCACAATACTGGTTATCATAAAGAAATATTTTGTTTACGCGAGTTTCAAAATAGAAAATCTACCACGAAATAAAGAATAGTTAGGGAAAGATAATTACCAACTGACACTTTAACCTAGCTAGGACATTTAAAATATTTGCCAAGAACGTGGCCACAAACGATTTCAAATAAATGGGAACGCAGGCCCGTTTTGCGAAATGATATTTGTTTTGTCGCAATTTCACTTTCTTATACAGCGGTCTATATAGTTTGGAATGATACAAACAGAGAGGTAAGAATTATTTTGATTACAGTGGGTTCGAAGCCTAGAATGATTAGTTTCTCGTAAGCGAGATTGCCGGTTTGTCAGTACCTATCTCTATATCTACTGTTACAAAGAATATCGAATATAAAAAGCTGAATTATGGTCCCCATACTTCTTTATAGCAAAGTTCGGCTGTACAAGATGACGGAGGTATTCAGGAATTAAATGGGCCCTTCAACACTTTTTGAGCGTGATCAGAAGCTCCTTAGAACACGCGAGCGAAACACTATAGCGTCGCACGAGGCCCAGATTTTGCAACGAATTATCGAAGTCAGTTGAAAATTTCTCTCTCTCTTCCTTGAAAATGATGCCACGCGCCCAAATTACAGTGTCGCATACCCAAGGTCCATAGCTGTTGACTAATTTCAGCATTGTGAGCTGCATAGTTACAGTGGCTACCGCGGGATGCCGCCACGTACCCACGTGTGAACTCCCACAAGCGCTGGAAGTAAGCCGAACATTCGAAGAAAAAAAAAAGAAATGTTAATACTGAAGCCCATGACGCGCGTTGACGAAGGGACGCATCACCTTGCCCCCGTGTCATCATTCTTACTGCGTAGCCTCCAGAGCGCTGACGTGTATGAAAAGAGAGAGAAAGCGCTTGAAGCGTGCAATAAATTCCTGCAACGCCAATCGTATTTGACCCAATTTTTTTTTCTGGCAGTCGATTCGTGAGTGAGTGAATAAACTTTATTTCATGACCCGGCATATTTGTGGTCCGCGCTATACCTCACTGGGAGGTACCAGGTGACCTTGTCCCCATACAGCCTCCCTGGCCTGTTTTATAGCCCATTTTTAGGCAATGAGCTATTTTAAAAGAGTCATTCGACGGTTACCTGTAAAAGCATCGCAGGGCCCCTTTACTGTTATCCCGAAAGAGGAAATGCGGCCACCGAGTGCAGTGCACTCTTGCATAAGCCACTTAAGGCGCGTCGCATCGTTAAAAGCCTGCAATGCTGTGCATTTGTGGAAAAGGTCAATGTTCGAGACGCAAATTCGCTGTTTAAACTGGACATTGATGTTTGTGTACTCGTTTAAAGCGTGTAGCTAGCAAAAATATGGGTAGCCACGTATAACATGTGAGCCGTATATGTGAAACGTGAGGCGTATATAACAGGACGACAGCTGTTGCTTCAGGGCGTGAAAGGCCCGAAGAGAACGACTCGCATTTCTCAGGAACAGCTGGTGTGTTCAGTATGTTGTATGGGGACCACCAGTCACAATCTGCTCAAAAGTAGCTTTCACTGCGCGATGAATTAGTTCTATTAAGCAGACTCATGTTTGAGTTCAAATCTTACACGTTCAAAGGATTTTCATGTTTCGAACAATGAACTTCCCTGACAACATTAAGGAGACTGAGATGGAATATAACTCATCTAAAGACCATGTTATGGGTTTTCTCGCGTTCCCAAGAATTGGGGACATCTGGACGTGGCGCCATCTCTCGCCGGGGGGGGGGGGGGGGGGGGGGGGACGGCCAGCCTGCCGTAATAGAATAGAAGATAGATGACGAAAATCATATCTCTTGAAAAAAGCTAGCTATCAAAAATGACTCCAGGTTGTATATAGCAGAGACTCACTGGTACATTTTGACAAAAATTGAAGTATAGCACTACAAGGCGTGTGGATTCCCAGGACAATTGAACACCACCCACTGAAACACATGGGACCCTATTGTTAAATATTAAACACCCTAAAAAGTCACGCAGTTTGCAGTGCGACACTGTAACTTTAATAGACTGTTGAAATAAGAATTTACTGTATAGAACCAAGAGTCGTTTTTAATAACTACCTTTTTTGTAAGATACGATGTTTTCGCCCAAATTCTATTCAGTTACTTCAGGCCACCGCTGTGGCCGACGAGAGATGGCGCTACGTGCAGATGTCCCTAAATCCTAGTCATGCAAATGAAGCAGCCGTGCAGCCTATGAGAAACTTGTGCGGAATATACACTTCTGCACCCTGTCTTGACACCAAAGGCTGAATTCTGGTGCAAGTAAGGATTACTACGAAGTACACAGATTTTGGCAAGAAGCTTTCATCCGTCCATGAGTTTCAACGGCGTATGCAGTAACTGATGTTAGGCTATGCAAAGGTAACCAGACCAGCGATCATAAGCCTTTTAAATTTTGCTTTTTGCTTTTTTTCTCGGTTCGGTATCAGACGGTCGAGTGGTGCCAGAAGGCTCGATCGTGATCATCTTCTCGTACATGCTACATAGAGACCCCAAGTCCTTTCCGCAGCCGGAAGAATTCCGGCCTGAGCGCTTTCTGCCCGAGAACAGCTTGGGAAGGCATCCTTTTGCCTACGTGCCATTTTCAGCTGGACCTCGGAATTGTATTGGTGAGTACTCTGCTAAACACCTGTGCAGGTGGTAGTGCACATGTCGAGGTTTCTATCACAATTGTTTTGATCGATCAATTGATTGAATATTTTATTGATTCACTATTATACTGAAAGCATTTGTGCCCAGCATTTTATGTGATAAAATGTGACAGAACAACAAAAATTTACTGTAAAGGAACTCGTGGCTAGCTGGTAGAACATTTTCGACAATAACTGGTGTGCTAACAAATGGCACATAACTCAAGCACACGCTCCCACAATCAGGCGCCAAATGCTTATAGTGCTCACTTCCGATTATTTATTCATCGATGGTGTTAAGGAGCGTATCTGACACGTGATGTATGTGGTGATGCTTACAAGGTGTTTAAGATTATGTTTCATGTTCTTCTTTTAAATGCGAAGCATTCCTTAGCGAACTTCGGTGACATTGAGAGTATCTATCTATCTATCTATCTATCTATCTATCTATCTATCTATCTATCTATCTATATATCTATCTATCTATCTATCTATCTAGCCGTTTACGACTTTTAGCTCTCCTGGCCATTTCGATAATGGTATCAATACGAAACTTGGTATGGCATAACATGACTGTATGCAGAACATATTTGACTAGTCATAACATGAAAACCATCACATGTATGTCATGAATACAATGATTTACATTTCATGGTCCTGCAGCTCTTGAGTGGTTTCGTTCACATGGCATGCTGCAAAACGGTACGGTATGACATGATTGCATGGTGAACACAAGCGACACACCCTAACATGAAAATCATGACATGCGTGTCATGTAACAACATGACTACATGCCACGTTGATGATGCGGTCGTGGGCGTTTCGCTAGCGTCACATAAACGAAATTTGGTATTACGGTGCGTGAATGGATGACAAAGGTATGATACTTGTGCAAACATGATAAACATGAGATGCGTGTCATATAACACTATGACCACATGCTACGCTCATGATGCGCTGGCGGTCGTTTTGCTAGCTTCACTTATGCCAAATTTATTATTACGGGACGTGAATGGATGACGAAGGTATGATACTTGTGCAAACATGATAACGATGAGATGCGTGTTATATAACAATATGACTACATGCTACGCTCATGATGTGCTCGCGACCGTCTCGCAAAGCTTCACAAGTACCAAACTCGGCATTACACGACGCGAACGGATGACATGGGTAAATGACGCATGCAAACACGATAACCACGACATGTGTGTCATGTAACATGACTACATATCACGCTCATGATGCACTCTCGTCCGTTTTGCGAGCTTCACATATGCCAAATTTGGTATTATGTGACGCCAATGGATGACGAAGGTATGTGGCTCGTGTAAACTTAATAATCATCAGATGCGTGCCATGCGAGAACATGACTTTATGCCACAGTCAAGACGCCAATACATTTCCGGCGTTCATTTCATCGCGTCACGCCGGCGTTGCCACGCCAGGCGCCGGTCCTGCCATATACTCGCAGGCGCGCGCCGCGCTGCGTTGCTTTGACGCATGCGCGTTTCAGCACACCCGGCGTCCCTCCGTCACGAAAAGAAGGAGACGCAGTGTTATCTGGATAAAGCATCAGCATAAAGTAATGTTACTCTATGGCATCGACGCGAAATGCAGCATGTCGCATTTCGCGCTGGTTGCCGTCTGGCCGCGATGAAGGACGCAGGTCGCGCCTGGCGTCAGACTATAGAGTGCTCGCGTTTTGCTAACGTAGCGTCGCTGTGCCCAGCGTGCGCGCGCGTCAACGCTACATTGGAGTATATTGGGCCCCTCATGATGCACTCGCGGCCATTTTGCTAGCTCCACATATACCAAATTTAGTGTTACGTGACGTCAATGGTTGGCAAAATGTATGACTGGTGCAAACATGATAATCCTGACACGTGTGTCATGTAAGAACATGACAACACACCACGCTCATAGTGTGCTTGCGGCCGTTTCGCTAGCTCTACAACTAAATTTTTAAGTGTGAATACACTTTATAAGCGACCCCAAACCATCCACCGCTGTCGGCGGCGTCCGCAGTCTTCTCTCTATCTAAAAGAAAGAGGACTTGGCGGGCCGCAGCGCGACGCTCTACCGAATAAGCCACGGACGCGACGCTGATATCTGTGTCAGTCACGCGCCTTATACCCCCTCCCCCTTCGCTCGCTCCTCCGCTCTCCTCGCTCGCTGCAGCTGCGCGCGCACCCCTCTCTCTCGCGCGCCCGCCTTCTCTCTCAGTCTCCCGTCGAGAGCGGGTCGTGCGATGGATGTCCCGGAGGCAACGCTACCATCAACAACGAATGCAGTACAACCGAATGCCAGCACTGCACCCGTCGTTGGAGGTGACGGTACCGCGGTGGTTTCGCCCACGTTGGAAGACAAAGCGGCGCTGCGAAAGGCTCGTGAGACCGAACGTAAGCGGGCGAAGCATGCAGCGGATGCCGAACTGCGTGCTCGCGAGGCCGAGTGCAAGCGGGCGAAGCGTGCAGCGGATGCCGAACTGCGCGCTCGCGAGTCCGAGGACAAGCGGGCGAAGCGTGCAGCGGATGCCGAACTGCGCGCTCGCGAGTCCGAGGACAAGCGGGCGAAGCGTGCAGAGGATGCCGAACTGCGCACTCGCGAGGCCGAGGACAAGCGGGCGAAGCGTGCAGCGGATGGTGAACTGCGCGCTCGCGAGGCCGAGATGAGGCGTCAGCATCGAGCCGCGAACGCGGCCCAAGAAGCGGAACGACAACGCAAGCGTCAGGCGGAGAAGGGCGATGAAGGCCGGCGTCAAGACGCCGCTCGCAATCGTCAACGGCGAGTGGACATTCCCGAAGTCGTTCGAGCCAGTGAACGTGCCGCGCGGGAGAGGGTGCGAGCCCTGGACTTTGCTCGTCCGGGGCTCGCATGCTATGAGGGGGAGTAAAGTTAAAATCCGTTGGCATTCGCCAGTGAGTTAACGTAAACTCCCCCGTGTGATCAAATTGCGATTCCCAGGAACCATTACACCATAAAGGCACCATAGTGTGATTAATAAATATAATAGTGCGAATTAATAAATATCCCTCATAGCATCACCCCGTGCATTCGCACTTAACCATGTTCACCCTCGGGGAAATGCTTGGGAATTTTTTTTATCACGTGACGTGAATAGATGACGAAGGTAAACGACACATCCAAACATGATAATCATGACACGAAAGCCATGTATGACATCATTTACCTCCACCTCGTAACGTTGTACTCATTTCAAAGGGACGTATCAACATTTCTCAGTCATGCTTCGCATATCATCGATTCCCACTGTACGTGGGATCTGTCAATTTTTTTTTAATATTCAGCAATGCGAAGGACGTGAAAACTACCTTTGCAGGTAAGTTGCGTATCCAAGAAGACACAACAGGACACAATAACTATCGCTGTCAGCCACCCAGTCAACAAATATTTAGTAATGAATTTTTCAGTGACTGCACCGAGCGGGAATGTTTGCATGGAAAGGTTGGTGGCAGTTATGTTCTTCCACGGTTACACTTGCAAGAATTCTTCTCACTTGTCTGTGCTACGAGATATCCCGCTGCGAAGTTTAACTGCATTCTGCATGACTACGCATGCTAGAGAGTGAGCACTGGCTCAAAGCTTTTCCTCAATGTGCCGTGGATGTTGCGTGTGGTGTTTAATCTGACAATGGGCCAAAGTCGTAGGCTAATGTGATAACGGTTACCCTTTTACTGCCGGCTGGCGATTGCAAATAATCACTACTCGTCCCATTCTGGAGGAAGATGGCGCTAGCCCGCACCGCCTCGCATGCGTAATCATGCGAACCACAATCAAACTTTGCAGCGGGGTACCTTGAAGCACAGACATGCTAGAATTCTTCCAAGAACTGCGTAGAAATGCGACTGGTTACAAGTTTTTATGAGAAACATGCTCGCCTGTGGTAGTCACTAAAAAGTTCATTATTAAATGTTAGTGAATTGGGCGGCTGACAGCGATAATTGTTGTCTAACTTTGTGTCTCCTTGGATACATAGGTAATCTGCAAATGTGGTTTTCATGTTCTTTCCAGAGCTGAATTTTAAGAAAACCATAAATCTTAACTTTGAACACCCGGTATATTCAAGCATTCGTTCGATGAATGAATAGCTGTAAGTGAGCGTTGTATACGTGTTTAGTCATTGAGCATTAGAGTGTGAGCATGGGTGAAGGTATCATGTGTTTGCGCACTAATTACCTTTCAAATAAACACACAAGCTTGCACATTCGAGGTAGCGGAGTTTGGGTGCTATGCACACTCTAACAAAGTGTAAATTGCAATGCAAAAGACTATTACAACGATAAAATGAGGTAAACTGGTGAGAAATGAAAAACCATCGAGAAGGATTGTGTCCAATAATACTACTTTTATTTTCTGTCTTTGAATGCATCGTTTCGCTGTGACTACTTGTAGATTAACGACACGTAGTAAAAAGCATCATCGGGTAGATAAAGCACTAGCCCGGTGTTTTGGCGTCAATCACAGTTTCAACCTAGCAAAACAATGACGCAACTTTAAAGTCTGCAAAGCACTGTTCTTGTGATATTGAATGCAAGACGCAGTGTATCTAAGAAAAGAAAAATGCTTTGATAAGTAGATGAGCTATACGCCTGTTGATTTCCTTGCTGCCTAACGCTGAGTTTAAGGTCTGCTTAAACACCTGTTTTACCGACTTAAGGTTTGCTTCGGCAAAAGGAGCATGCTGAGCTAACACACCCACGTTGCAATATTAATCCACAAATGTAAACCCATCGCTATTATTACTGTTTTTTCTTATTTTTTAAAAGCGCAACACTTATGTTCCTGACTCTGCGTTGAGTAGTGTGCGTAACCGATAAAGCGAACCAGGACAAAAAAGCGAACGTGGAGTATGTCGACATCCCAAACCACCGGCCTCTATAACCTCGCTTTCTCCCTCACGAGCGCTGGCCCGAGCTCGTGCGCACGCAGTGCTGGCACATGCACTGCCGCTGGCTTCGCTTGTCGCAAGGGGGTTGTTGGTGTTTCGCATAGTTCGCGACGCCTGCAATGTACAGAATGGTGTGCGTAGCACTCGTGCTGTGGCAGTTTTGGTGGAATTATGTAAGGAATATTCCACTGCTACAACTGCGACTAGCCAAAGTTTCACATAGTTGGCGTTGCCCTAACACAAAGCCGCAATCAGAATTCGCATTAGAGAGTATCGCCATCGTGGCTGATTTTGCTTTTTCTCGTGTAGTTGGTAAAATGTAGTGAATACCTTGGGCAGTTCCAAATTGTCTTACTTTTTATGATGACACCAAAAAACAGCAATATACAAAAAGGCAAACAGCTGGGAAATTTCAAACCATTAATACTTGTATTTATTATAGCCCGCACCTCGAAGCCCACGAAGAATAGAAAAGTCACGACAGTTCGCGATGCCAGGAACTAACGAAAGTGTTCCCAGGCTGTGACGTTATGAATACCTTTATACACATTTCAGTGAATCGCTACCTGGACAAAAAACAGCAATTATTTCAGCTAGGTGGCGTGAGCGAGTTGTTCTATATGGCTACATATAAAGGAGGACATTTGTGAACGCCCTCGGAGGGCAACAGCTGTATGTTACCTTGTTTCCTGAACAGTGCCCTCTTGACTTCTTTTTATCCTCGTCCTGCAGGCCAGCGGTTCGCGCTAATGGAAGAGAAGATCGTGCTGTCCAACTTGTTTCGGCGGTTCAGCGTACGCTCACTGGTGCCCCGCGACGAGCTGAAGCTGGCCGGCGAGCTGGTGCTTCGAAATCAGAACGGCATCCAAGTCACGCTATCACCCCGACAAAATACCCACGCCGTCGACAAGCACGGATAGAGACTCGACAGCCGTCATCCCTGCCTTCATCGCTGTTTTCATTTCTTAGTTCGAGCTGTTACACCATTGTTCATCTGAACTTTGTGCGTATGGTGGAAGGCATGAGCCTGGGCACAAGTCTGTCTATGCACTCATATGTCTGTGATGTCGCGCAGCAGCGGGCTGGTGCGCACGCGCGGTGCGCGCGACAGTAGCGCAGTTAGAACCAAACGCACCGTGCAAGCGCTCAAATGTCCACGCGTACGTAATGTGCTGAAAAATTATACACTCAGAACGACTGAGCAATTAATAACTAGACGCGACGATCCTCGTTGTGCACTTCAGTTTCAAGCACGCGCCCAGAAATGTGAGAATGTTTTAAGTCTCATTCCATGCAGTGAGGTGTCTTGTACATGTGCAAGACGGCCTCTTGTCAGGGCACTGCCACTTTACAGCTTTAAATCTGTAACAACCCTTCTTTTAAGTGCAGGGTAGCCAACCGGGCTCAACCTAGTTTACTTCATTGCCGTATCTGCCCACTTCTACGGAGAAATGACGGCGTAAATATTACGCACAAGCATTAGGTCTGGCGCGAGGCGAGCCAACTGTACCTCAGTCAAGGTAGCATGAACTATTCCTGTCAAAAAAGGCAGATTTGATGTTTGCTGTAGCCCTTTATGGAGCACGGCGTATCTTGGCTACAACACCTGCCGTTGTACGATGAGAACAGTGAGAATTGCTCTTCTATACTTCTGTGCAAGACCGGCTGCACCATCACCAGCAAGCTAGCACAAAGGTGACAGCGTGCGGAGGGGGGCTTTAAGCTTCTGACGCCACTCACACGCTTTTTTCAAGGCCGTACGTGATATTACGTGGCGGACGCAGTGAATATGGGACAAACGGGAAAACACAATCCTCCCGCTTGCTTTAAGGGTGTTCCTTGGCTGAACAAATGGTAGTGCTAGTTCGTCAAGAGTATTATAAAAAAAGTCAATTTTATCTGTGCGCAAACCTGAAAGGAAAGCGTTAAAAACTGTTTTCCGTGGCAAGCTCTCAATTCTTGTTAATCGCGATTGCAACGAGAGCAAGAATCGCATTCTACAAGATGCACAAAGTCGTTCATATTCATGAAGAAACCTGAATCTTCAAAACTAAGCTAACAGTGCAGTATAAGAGAGGATACGAGAAAGAGAGAGAGCTTTAAGTGAATGAAAGACAACTAGACTGCATGTACATAACAGAACAAGACTTAAAACTATTTTTAAAAATCAGGAAGAAGAAATGAAAGAGACTGAAAGATGCGCTGTATTATTTTCTTAGCTCACAACGCAATGCAAACACCTCGAAAAGGGCAACGATGACCGCCGGTGTTTGTAAAGACCAGAGTCCCAGAATCAAGTTTTAAGAACTGCAAGGATTGTCTCGATGCGCTTTAAGTCGGTGCTCTCTGTTGCGCACTGGTGCAAACATGTCGCAAGTGAGGAATGTGCGAGGTCTCTGTGTAGATACAAATACCAAAACCATAAGAGCTATTGCTCCGACTGCGACAGCCGACGAGGCCACGTGCAGTGGGAAAATACTGAACATGCTTGTTGTGTCCGCTGATCTGAGAATGGGTACATGCTCGTGGCAGGGGAGAGCACCATCTGCAGCTTGGATTCACCACCTTTTTACGTTTGTCATAGCGCTTAGTGCGTAGGTGTTGAGGGCAAACGAAAGTTACTTCGGAAGAACGCGGTCCTTGAGACTATTTCGAAACGTTACGCCTAAAATTGTATATATGCTGTAGCCACTTAGCAAATGTGTTTCGATAAAGCCCATTTCATGGCAAGATTGAAACCTATATCACTAAATATTCAGGTTTCTTGTTGGAAGCACGGTATGTTAGAAGACTTGTGTCCAGGTGAGTTTTTTTTCCTCAGTGACGGCGCGATCAATGCGTCGTGCACCTGTTCAGACGCGTTGTGATGGGTTCTAACGTTGAAGTGTAGTTCCCTCGACAAATGAGGTGTTATGTGTAACTTTTCTTTGAAGCACTTTCCTGAGCATACCTAGGCCTGTAATTCCTGACTTCTTGAATCATGTTAACTAACTTGCACTTGTAAAGTAGTCAATCTGTGTACATAATTCGTCGTTCTAATGCGAGCCCCCTTTTAACTTCTGCTTATTCAATCTACCTAGTCGAGAAAAGGTCAGAGCAGTCAAATAACCAGCCAATGCTAAACATGTCTTACCACGGCCAGTATTCACAAAACTTCATTATATGTGTGCAATTGGCCATTAACTCGCTGTCACGCCATTGGTGATTGCAGCGACTGCAACGCGTCTGAGCACCAGCCTTTGAAAGATAAATCTTGAGGAAAAGAAGTATTGTGAATGCATGCCAAGAAGTTGTGCGAACTGTGCCGTCTATTCACCCAAAAAGTGTCCAACTGTATGCATTCTCTGAGACTTGTCCCATCACGTCCAAACTAGTCCAATATTATTTATTGCTAAGTTTTATGCTTTTTTTTCTGAATTGTGCATGACGCCTTTGTGACTAAGTATTGTATCATCGCCTCCAAATTCAGCGTTTTTTTTCCTGCAAAGTGGTTGAGGAAATGGGTTAAAACACATTTTATGGAAGATGAACATTACTTAACAATTAACATATTCGTTCTTATCGGCGGATATCAAAAACAGTTAATATTCCATCATGAGGGCTTAGCTTGGACATAGTGCTTCAGAACAAATTCATATCGTTCAACCTTGAACCTTTCACAACGCGTCACAAACGCTAACCGCCATCATACCTGCAGACATCTGCGGAACGCCTTCTCAGTCTGATAGTTTTTGTACCCGTAGTTTTTTTTTAATCATGCAGGAAGAACAACTCATTGTCTAGTCAACGTGCTGCGCCATACAAGTCAGGGTTTTTCGTCTACATGTCTGAACACGTTGGGGGTTGTTTTTCCAGTTTTGTGTGCACGCCGCTTTGCCTCATTGTGATCCACGCATAATCATCCTTGTTACCACTAGAAGTGACATTGCAATCGTAACTGTACGTGCAAGTGCGTGCCAGTTGGAACATAGCTACCTTTTCTGTAAAAACAGCCGATGCTATCAGTCATGAGACGCAACGAATGTCCGCATCAGTTTCTTATGACAACACCTATTGCACTGTAAAGTAGTTCAAACTTTGCTCAATCAAACTAACCTACCCCATAAATATAAAAAAAAAGGATGGGCCTGCAATAATACGCATTCGCCCCTAACCGACACGGGACATCGTGGTACGCTCTTTCAAAGTAATTGCTGCTGGAACGCCTTCAAGGTAAGAGGCGATAGAAGACGTGATCACAAATTAAAAACGATCGTCTGCTCTGAATTTGAGTCGTTTGTTACCATGTAAGAGCTGTGCATCGTTTAGGTGGAAGCTGCACCAGGGGTGGAGGCGTTACTGATTCAGCGCAGTTGTCATTGTTGCAGGGATGTCTCTAAAATCACAGTGTGACTATCTTGCCGGCCTGTTTCGAAAATAAGCGGGCTTGCGCATGGGTTCAGCAGCTCGATTCAGATGCTTCACTAAAAAATATAATTTAATGGTCGATTTGCGCAAGACAGGTGAGCGCAGTGATCTCAGAACGCCACGGAAATGCGAGTAATACACCCTTCACTGCTTCTGCAACGATCGAAAAGAAACATAAGCTAGACTGTCGGTGCTGATGATATCGTTCACCCAACAATTCGATGAACTAATTCGCCCATCACTTTTTCCATAGAATACACTGGCACATATTAACGCAAGTCATTGACTATCGTTAACGGTACTTGCATGTGACTTCTTAGCGGATAAGCGTCTCTTTCTTGCCATGCCGCAGCAGATCTTGCCTGCGCATGTGCTCGCATGAAATTTTCAAGACTTTTAGCACTGACTACGATAAATAGCTTTACGTTGTTTTGGTGGTTCCCGAAAGCTCGAAGTATTAACTGGTACCAGTAATATACAATGGAACTGCTGCGTCGATACGAGCTCGCTTCAAATGTTTTATCATTTAGAAACAGAATTAGTCACCTCTAAACTGCACATTGTGCTTTGCGAGTTATTTTACCTCACTTAACTCAATCGCCAAGTTTCACTATGTGTCATAGTGAAAAAGCAATGAAGACGCTCCGAGACTCGTCATCAGCTGAAGTGAAAAAAATAATCGTGGTAACGCAATATAGCCACCATAACGGCCGCAGTTGAGCTACACGGTAGAGCAACTGCGGAGACTTTAATTCGTTGTCTTGCAACGAATGTAGGAAAATGGTAAAACGTTTTCTTGGATTCAGAGAGCAACAATGACAGCCTCTCACAATTACTGACATTTGCTACCAAATTCAAAATTGTTATAGAAGCCCCGTACCCGAGTGCCATGGAGCGCAAAAACGACAGTTCCAAGTGTGCCTAATGAAGCAGCAAGCAAAATGGTTTTCTTTTCATTCAACTGTTGCTGCAGTGTGCAATAGCAGCAGTATTAGCATAATGCGATGCTCATTTCATAGATAAATCTTGGCTATTTACATAGAATCTTTGAAGTGGGCTTTGAATATTTAGGTTATATTCATTTTAGGCTAATTAGCTTATTTTGGAATAACGTGTCGCAGCACGAGAATGTGCCCGTTTCATGAACCGAAGCAATATTGCTTGCTCCCAGTGAATTTTATTTCTGTACTCTTCGCGTGCCGTTTGCCAGGGCGCGCTTGCATCTAGTTAATAAATAAACCGTGATATTTCTATGTAACTAACTTTAAGCGCCATGTTGTCTTTTTTTCCTCACAACAGCCTGCCTGTATTTGTTTCTTTTTTCTCGGTTTTCATTTTTTCCTGTTCGTTGATTTTTTTTCTTTGTGTGACCTTACTTTTTTATTGTACGCTTAATTATATACTCGAACTTCTTTTCTGCGTACACCTGCAATAAATGTGCCCCATATTGTTACATGTTGCAATTGACTAACGATCCCTATAATACCACCTACAACAAGAAGCTACATTCGCACTCGCATGAAAATATGGTAAGTTTGGTGTGATCTTGCTACCGCAACTTCAGTAACATTTGCGGGCAGGCTAGCTGGTTATATTCAGTTCTTAGGGAAAACAGCATAAAACAAACGAGACTAATAGAAGATTCTCATTCAGGACACTGTCCCGCGTCTTAGTTTCATGAAGTGTGCGATCTTACCTGGAAACGTCGCTATCACATCCAGGTGATAAACGCGAGAATCGTGATCAATTTAGCTATGCCTCCGTCTACAAACACAGCCTTATTGTGGAAGAATTAGGATTTTTGTTCAAGCAACGCCCTCACCTTAATACGCCTCGTCCTCATTCGGTACGGTATCGCCTTGTGTGCCCCTGAAAATATTGGGGCTATTGTCAAAATTCACGTGCATAAAAAATGGAGCAACAAAGGATAGAGAGTACATTACATTCGTAGCATTAAACAGAGGTTAAGTACCATTGCATCGATATTCTTTGCACCGTCGTGGTAGGACACTGAAACAAGACACTTATCCCAAGAACCATTTCAGGCTTTCGAGGCACCGAACGAAGACGTCTGGAGCACCTCCCGTTCTTGCCTTATGCCCAGGTTCGTGCAACGAAAGCGTGATGTATGGTTTGACTTATACTGTATTGTGACGCCACAACACTGCATTTCAGTATGATCATTTCAATTACGACACCTTCACACGTAGTGCCACCACATCCGACGTATGCTTCACAACATCTGCTTGATAAAGCAGCAGCAGTCTCATAGGCATTCGATTAAGATCTGTTTTATATAACTTACAATCTGCTTGTTTCGACAATGATGTAATCCCCGTATACTCAATGGCGCATGCTTGATAAGTGCCTCCTTTCCTTTCTTGAGATTGTGGAGATGACTGAGGCCTGACGATGTCAACATCACTGCAGTCTCTTTCGGCAGCGGACAAAAAAAAATATTGCCAGCAGCGCCAACTACGGCGGTGGCATCATCGTCGGAATACGCAAAGAAGGGAAGAGTATGCGAGGAAAGGAAGGCAGGTTATTAGCTTTATGACAGCCCTGCCGTGGTGGCTAAGGTACTCGGCTGCTGACTCGCAGATCGAGGGATCGAATCCCGGCGGCGGCGGCTACATTTTCAATGGAGGCGAAAATGCTGGAGGCCCGTGTGCTCAGATTTGGGTGCATGTTAAAAAAAACCCAGGTGGTCGAAATTTCCGGAGTCCTCCACTACGGCGTCTCTCATAATCTTATGGTAGTTTTGTGATGGTAAATACAACTTATCAATCAATAGCTTTAGGATAACGCGTTTTCTAAGCTACGCATGGAAACCGGATGGGAGAGATTGAACGACAGAGAGGACTGATTGCACGCAACAAAGCACGCACAGTGTCGCGACAGAGGTGTAGAGTACCAAGCAAGAGTGGCGTAATACCCAGGCTTTAGGTTATATATATACACGAGGCGTTTCTTCGGTACCCAGCCGATCCAAATAGCGGCCATGTGACTAAAGCAAAGCTATGGGCCGGCTTTTAAATAGGCACAAACATGATCTGTAGTTATCTGTGCCATGTGTAAAGCCATGTACAAGTGAGAATGCTGTGCTGTTGAAGCTGAAATCGGCTTATCTTTCGACAAGCAATTATTATGCTGTGCACATCACAGTACCATTTTCCGAGCATTCTGCACCTAATTAAACTAATCCGAACACCCATAGGTACATGTACCGCGATGTACTAGATAAGCAAGCAACATGGTATGGGGATGGGTACGAAAATCTGGGACAAGAGAATCAAGCAACATGCAAAGAACAGTGGAGATCAACTATACCACGCAGTGCTGAATAATCCACGTGGCCTGATATAACGGGCTCGAGAAATTACAAATGACCCGCGGCTACCCACAACAAAAAAGGTGCCCCACATACGACGCACAATGCGCTTGCTCAGAACAAAACGTTATTCCCCTTTGACAAGGAACGGTACGCTCGATCAGTGTTCCTACAGTATGCCAAGACCGGATACTTCAATCACCAACTATATATATATATATGTGTGTGTGCGTGTGTGCGTGCGCGTGTGCGCGTGCACGTGTGCGCGTGCGTGCGTAGAAAAGTCGAAACAGACGCGCGTGTGTGAAGCAGTTTTTGACGTTTCGCTCAGGGTCCGAGCTTCATCTGATGAAGCCGAAAACTGCTTCGCACAAGCGTATTTTGACTTTTTCCTGAATATTGCACCGGATCCACAAGCCCTTTGTTGTTTTGCATTTGTGCACACACACACACACACACACATTATATATATATATATATATATATATATATATATATATATATAGATTATGAAGTCTTGCTTCGTTTACCGTAGAATCAGGGCAAAATAACTATACGCTTCTAAAAACTTTATTTGTGACGTTTGGATCAGAGACCGATCTTCGTTGGACCATTGCGACAATTAAATTACGAAAATAACGATAGATTATGGGCGAACATTCGTGATGGTGCACTTTTACCGGGAAGGAAGCCCCCTTGTGCACATACCGAACAGGGCTTCCCCTGCGAGCTCGTCCGTCCAGGTATAAGCACGAATGCTAACGCTCTTGTCACGTAACAGGCAGTTGCAATTGCTATCACAGGGCTCACATTCGTTACTCCACGATATTCGGAAAAGTAGACATTTCTATATTTTTAGAAAACTGTCGCAACCTTCGGGGAAATAGAAAAAATGTCCAATAACACAAAATAGGTCGCACAAGGCTTGAAACAGCCAAGATGGACAACAATTCTGAACTATGGTCTGCTTGCTATAGCTTGTTGCTTGGCGTTAGCTAGGCTGTTTCTATAGGGTGCTTCTAGATTGATTGTTTTAGCTATGTTTTACAAAATCAGCCTTTATTTTCTTGTTTGAGGAAAGTCGCACACGTGGAGAAATAGAAAAAGAAACACTACGGGTATGGCATATCGCGGGGGCATTAACCCTTTATTATTCTACAGTGAGCGAAAAGTTGTCAAAAGCACAATAAAATCAAATAAAAAGTGTGTACATAATGCAAAATATCGCTACGTCGACAAGATGGACGTTCAGTCGTGTTTGCGTGCCGCCATGGTTACTTTTCGCAGTGACCGCCGAAGAAAACCTGTCGGTCGTTGCTTTGGAAATAAAGTCGAGGGTGGCGGCGATCCTTCGTAACGCTGAGAGAAAAAAACAAGACGTGACATGTCTTAAGAAGCAAGCTCCCGTGTATTGACGTACGGTCGTTATGTGTTAAAGTGGCTGAAGTCTGGAAATTTATTCGGTGCCGCAGTTGCCATGAGCCCCCTCCCCATCCGTGTTTGCACTGATTAGTCATACAATTGTTAAGTACTGCGACGTTGACAAGACAAGAAAAAAGTCCAAACTGCTCGACGTGTGGTTGGTAAACACGCACAATCATTTAATGGGAGGGAGGTCTAACTTCTTCGCAACCTTTCGTGCAGTATATTATCGCCATCGACCTGACTGTGTACACTGCTAGACAAAAGCCTGCTGATGCCATTTTATAACCACAAACTTCCTCTTCTTATCTGCCCACTTAACTTTCTATCTCCCCCTCACCCATTTGCCTTTTCTTAGAATTCAGTCACCCTTAATAACCAGCGGTTTTCCTGTCTACGTGCTCCATGAATTGCCCATGACCATTTCTTCCTGATTTCGTCTATGATGTCCTTAACACCCGTTTGTTTCCTGTTGCACTCTGCTCTCTTCTTGTCCCTAAGGGTAAAGCCAATAATTTTTCTTTCCATTGCTTGCTGTCTCGTCCTCAACTTGAGTTGAACTTTTTGCAATCTTCCAATTGTGTGATTATGCAGGATTACAAGTGTATGATATCGCTGAAATGGGCATTCGTAATGCGTCAAACCTGTTTGCCTGGAGAAAAAAATCGCCAGGCCTGCACGGAACGCGCAGCACAGTCACAGCGAAAGCAGGAAGAGCGGCCTTTCGGAGCCTTTTATAAATTCTCTTTAGGTAAATGCTAGAAGAACACTTGCTGGCTACCCACTAAGACAAATAATCAATTTCTGTCAAGTAGGCCGGCATTCACTGTATACTATGCTTAGTCTTCCTTGGGAGAAGCGCGAGATTCCCTAAACACTTGCAACGAATTTTGTGCGAATTTTGTGTCATGCAGTGGCTCAAAACGATGAAGAATTGCGCCTTAAGTGGGTATGTGTCACAGTTATTAGTTAATGAACAAGCTTTCGTAATCAATTAGAACATTGGAGGACCCATTTGTTACAAAATACGCATTGTGTAACGCCTGGTTGTTCCTTTGCTGGTGTAAAACGCTTTATTATACCCATAACAAAGAGATTCCTCCCGACATCCAGCCTGCCTAAGGCAAGTTTGCGAACGAGTCCCAAGCACCGGCGTGGCTCAGCGGTAGAATACTGGTCTGGCACGTGGTGGACCCGGGTTGGAATCCCACACTGTCCTTAATGTTTTTATTTGAATCTTATTTCGTGCAATTGTGGCTACGGACACCAGCGGCGGCGGATAACTGCGGCGCCGCACGTCGCCATTGTTGCGATCTGATAACATCTTTCGCTGTAGAAAGTCTCAGAACGTTGTCTATAATATTGTTGACATTATCCGGAAGCTTTAGGCCCATAAAAAAATGCGTGTGTTAAACGAGGAGGGGGGGGGGGGGGGAGTGGCTCATTTGTACATGCAGTAGTGCCTTCAAGGGCTACAACTGGCTCTTTCAAGGCAGCCCATCCAGCTTACGCCGCGACTGTGCTGCTCGATCCACGCCGCACTTGGGTGCAACAAAGTACGGGCCAGACATAATCCATCGAAAGACATGTAGATGTTCAATGTATAGTCGTAGTTTGCTGCCATTCACAACAGGAATGATAGAATGAAGCTTGAGAACCTACTTCGAATTAGGAAAGCTCAGAGACTGTCATGAACACTTACGGAGCATGGACTGGAGCTGTTGGTGACAGCCGCGAAGCTGGAGTCATCGGGGGTGATGTGGTCTTTTGTCGAGCTCTTCGGTTTCGGATGAAAAACCTTTCCCAAGAGCCGTTGCCAACCTTGTTTCTTCTTGGGGCAGATTGCAGATACCACGCGATCTCTGTGGGGCGACCCTGCGTCCCACTGCTCGGATAGCGTAAAGCGTTCGTCCGGCTCGCACTTCAGCTCGTTCACAGGCTGCGAAAAATTAGGGTGCGATAGAGTTGTAGTTAGTAAAATGCATAAAACTAAACGTCAGTTTAAAAAGCAAGGCAAGAGTGTTACTATATGCGCACGCACTGTTCAATTGATGGTTACAGTCATTAGTTCCTTGTATCAGCGTTTAAGATATACTCGCGATACCTCTTCAAGCACTTGAGAGGTCTCTAAATGGCAGCAGGTGGTAAAAAGTGATGTTAGTCCAAGAATAGGTCACGATAGGAAACACTGAAAATTGACCAGATAATGCGGACTATCAAAGGGAGAGCAAGGCGTGCAAGTTCTAATCGCGGGAATTTGGATTTTCCCAAAATATGCAAAAATAAACGGGACAGTTTATTCCAGCCGATAACTGCCATTGCTAACCTACTTTTTCCATTAAGAATGCTCGCTGGCGTACAAGTTTTCTTTTTGCCGTGTATCATTGAGACATTCGGCGGTTACTACTACGATTATTTGATTTTCATAATTCACTTTTATTATTGGTATCAAATTAATGCCAATTTTTGTTTAGGAGACTAAATATTTTCGTTCGTTTAAATGGCATAGGAAAAAAACTACGTTGACGTACAAAGTAAGCAGAGCTACATGAAATATTGCACGTTTTGCTGACCATAAGTAGAAATAACTGCATAGTGAAGGAAGCAACAAATGTCACTTTGCAAGTGCATTTGATGCAAAGACTCACCTCAGCGGCGGCAGCACCACGAGCAGCTGTCGACTCCTTCCTGTACAACGAACGCCCCAGTGGCGTGGGCGTACACGGGCTACCCCTGGAGAACAGCAGGTCACCGCGCAAGGAGTCTGATGACAAAGAGCGGCTCCGGAGTGCGTACTTGGCCTCGAGTTCGTCCCAAGACACAGACTCCTTGGTTATCCAGTAGGGCTGCTCGCGCTTTGACAGTGCAGTAATAAAAGACAGTGACATCAATTGTGCTGGTGAATTCAAAGGTTCAGATTAAATTTAGGCAGTCATACTGTCGTAGCTGCGGCTTTTATATATATATACAGAAAAGGAGAAAGAAAAATAAGCGGGCAGGGATGTTAATAAAAAATAACGTCCAGTTGGCTACCCTACACTAGGCGATTACGGAAGGGGAATAGAAATATAGAGGGAAGAGTGTCTTTTACGCAAGACAGCTAGAGTTGACTTCATGAGTTCTGCGTGTCAAAACTACAATGTAATAGTAAGACACGTTGCATATCGGGCTCTAGAATGATTGGCCACCTGGGGTTCTTTAGCGTGAACCAAAGTGTAAGTATACGAGTGCTCTTGCATTGCTCCCCCACTCAAATGCGTCCACCGCGGCCAGGAAGTTAAACCCACTTCATTGAGCTTAGCAGCGTGACCCTTTATTGGCCTTGAAGTAGGTGGATGATAAGCCCATAAAAAAAACTTGGAACGGCTAATGTAGTGTAGCGAACAAAAGTCGCATAGTGTCACTACATACCACACCGGTGTTTAAAAAAATTCAAAAAATCATACCCTCTAGTCTTGCGTTTCACTGTGAACCAGCCCACCTGAGGTTCACACCTCTTCTCAATTGAGACTTCGAAGATCTACGCATAATCCCCGCGTACTGCACCCGTAACCAAATCGGACTGAAGTTGATAATAGAGCAAGCGCTCATGGCTGTCAGCCAAGTGCGAGCTACGAAGAGATATACTTCGCAGCCTTGACAGCAAGACTTAATGGTGACCAAATTTCGAAGGCCCGCTGTACTCATGCTCATACCTTCATTCGCTGCACGTAATCCCAGAGACGCCACTTCTCTGTGATTGTGATAGTTTTGCCCCTGCGTTCAGCCAGCTTGTCAATGTGGTCGAAGGAGAAATCGAGAAGCTCCTCCATTTGGACATCCTCGTCTGAGAAAAAAACACCGAAAAGCTGCATTTGATTCAAAGTACAGCTTAGCTCAAACCTGGCCACAGCGTTGTGGAGCAGGGCAAGGTACAGCAATGTTAGGAGAAAAATTCTTAATCGTACGTACATCCCTTCCATATGAAATAAAAGATGGGGTGAAAACACTCAGTACAATATCATGGTTGCTGCTCTATATTGCCGGCTGTAGCCCGCACTATGACGTGGCCCAGTTGTGAAGCACCAGTGAAATTTGTTCGGAACATACCTTACTTAATTACGCTACCATCATGGGCATCAGTAAGGGGTTCAAAACGGGCCTTTGCCCCCTCAAACATCACTTTTGCCACACTCTTCCCCAGCCACTATGCTAAACAATACGCATTCCCTTTTCCCTACCCCCCCACCCCCCTGCCCCTCGACAAAATCCTCCTGACACCCGTTGCTATCTTTAATGTATATTTAGAAACTTCAGAAGTGCAAGAAATGGCTGGCTTGCGCTGGAGCATACAAAGCATGTGCCTAGTCTAGGAAATCTACACGAGCAAGCGAACACGGGAATCAATGCTAACTGAGCAAGAACGCGGCTAGCCTTGCGCAGCCTTTGCATAGAGCCAAGTATACGGCTGTGACCGTTTACCGATGACTGGAGTAGCCGAATGAAGAATTCGCAATACGACTATATATAGATGAGCTACCTCCTGATGGTGAGCCCCGCTCTAATACATCCATTGCGCCAGCCACTCTTGTATTGCCGCTCTCAGGAAGACCAAGTGCGACTATTTTGCCTGTTACTCTCACCAACTTTTTCCTGAAGCCGTACTTCACTGTTCACAAATACAAATGACGGGCTTATCTGTAGTAGTTCGCCAGTTGTCGAGCCTCTGACACTAAGTTATTTGGGTTTTACGTCCCAAAACCATGAAATGATGAGGGACATCACATGGGAAATGTCCGAATAATTGTGACCATCTGGTAATATTTTAACGCACACCTTATCCGAGTACAGTACTCATGGATTGAAACACGAAACTCGTAGCGCGTGGCCGCCGGTGCATATGCCGCCGCTCGTGGGCGTTTGTGGAAGCAGGGTGTTGCATTGTGGTATAGAGTGAGGGAGTGAACACCCACAGCAGGATTACTCCTTCCGGTCGCTAAAGAGCCGGTATTTAGTTCACAAAGCGCACACTGTCTGCGTGGTGGTGCAACGCCCGCGCAATTTTGCATGCATGCAGCCCCAATAGAGTGGATGGTGCGCACCATTTAAGCAGACGACGATCTCGATCTGCGCCCTTCGACGATGAGGCACGTAGGCTGTTCATTTAGGTCAGCAATCGAGAACCATTGCAACAAGACCAGAGTGGGGGGTAAGCATGGCACTAAATGGGCCAGCTGGGCTCACGATTGATTTGATGTGCAGCAGCTCTAGAAAATGAGCGGACCACACGAAAAAGAGCACCCTGTCTTCTTTGCTTGGTCTGTTATAAGCTCCACTCAGTCTTGGGCAGTAACTAGTTAGTGGTAACATGTTAACAGTAACTAGTTATTTTTTTCAGTAACCTGTTCCCGTACTATTGAGTCGTAACTTAACTGTTATCCTGTTATTTTTTTACATAGCAACTAACAGTAAACGCTATTACATTTACAATTATCCAACAGCAAGAAGCCGATATGTTACACGGATTGCACATTTTCGAACTCTTTACCTTACCCTCCCCACCCTTCAACTTTCCAATAGGGCTCAGCATGCACAACAGGAAAAGTGGTCTCTGAACGAAAAGTCGACACTGCAGCAAACAGTCATCTAAATTAACTTGTAAACCAAATTTAGATTAACCACGCTGCGGCTGAACAGCTTGCTATGGGTGCGCTTTGAAGAAGCGGACAGGGAAAAGACAGGACACGCACTGTGCGAATTCCAAATTGTTCATGAGAAAGTGAAAAGTAATATATACGCTGAAGCACGTGACAGAGGGTGTGTGCATTACAAGTGAATGATCACTCAAAAACGACCTATCCCTGTCATACAGAACCAACTAGCCCATCTAAGTGCCTTGACAAGGTTGCCAAATTCACGCCCCTCCCCCCCCCCTTTTCGGGCGGGGGGGGGGGGCACAAATACTTAATCACTAGAGCTTCTAGCTGTGTTCTTGATGTGCGGGCATAGATGTCTTCGTCCGAGGCGCCGAGCTAATTAAGTTTTACATGTAGCTAGAAAACAGCAGCGCAAAATGTCTGAACGTTCCATGAACTAGCGAAGCAACTTAAGTGATATTAAAACTAAAGATACATGTTTTGCCTCTCATATATACAGGCGGAATCCCGAGTATCCAATAGGAACAGCAAGAGAAAGGATAAAAAATTAGCAGTCTTATCAGTCTATTAGTCACAAACGTGTCCACACAAACTTTCGGTAGTGGGCTGCGCTTGCTCTTGCAAACCGATGCGTCGTGGCTCATGAACCACGTCTCTTGCAGACTGATCCACCCCCCCCCCCCCCTCCATTTTGTTGATCTAGTGTGTTCAACAAGCTGTTTTTAAGAACGCGTTACATGACTGTCTTCAACGCCCTTTCCTCATCGTTCTTGTAGATGATCCCGCACTGATCGTCCCCAGGTGTGTTCTATATGGGCGTGCGTGTCCGAGTTTCGCAAACGCTTGGCCAGAGGTGAACCGGGGCTCTAAAAAGGTTTGCATGTGTGCGCACCCAAGATGCAGGAGGGGGGACGCAAAGTAAGCCCCATACCACCTTTATCCAGTGGCCATACCTCTGTATTGCTTTAATATGGAGGGGGGGGCGTGACAACGACCACTCACCCTCCCCCTTCTGAAGGGAACCCTGTGCACGCAAATTGATTTGGCATTTATTCAATTATTTTACACGGCAACGACGTTATTTTTCATGGCAATAGTAACAAGTTACTTTTGGAATCTCGGTAACTGTAACAGGGTTACTTTTTCGGCTTCGGTAACTGAAACACTTATTACTGGTAACGTGCCCATCACTGACTGCTAATATGCCAAATGATATTCAATTGCGTTCTGCTGCTGAGTGCAAGGGCGCCGGTTTGATTACCAGCAGACTACCGACGGAATGGTGGGTCATGACGTTCGTATGCTAAAAAGAGCTCAAGATGTAAAAGCCAGAGATTTAAAGCGTGTGACAACACAAATGACAAGCTTACTCAGTGTCACGCCCGTAAGCGAACTGCGACAGGACGCGCACGCGCTGGTATTTATTCGTAACGTTCCGCCATCACCTAAACGTAGAGAGTCGCGAGTTCAAATTTGGGCATCGTTGCTTTTCACATTACGCCAACTTAAGTGAAGTAGTGATCAGATATGTCAAGCCTTCGTTATTAATTATTATTTTCCTTTTTATCGAAACGCGAGAAATTTTGCAGTGCATTTAGACGTTATGACATAGGCTGCGACGCCGATTACGTTTACCGTGTCAACATACGAGAGAAGAACGGGAACCAAGATCGAGTGAACAGTCTAAGAACCGCAGGCAGTGTTTTCGATACCTCCACGTTAATGACGTTCATTTGCTTTAATTAGCGTCGTAACACTACTAATTAATCTACAAAGAACAAAGTTGCAATACTCTGAATCAATACTGGAATATCGAAGTCATTTAGACAGCCCGCTTTGGCGTAGTTTAAGAAATCATTTTCACGCTACTTCTTTCGACTTCCCAAACGTCGAGATTGAAGTTAGCATGCACTGAAGTGCAAACCTTAATGGCTGTCAGTTTCTTCGTTCTTCCGTTGCTAATCACCGTGAGGGGGGGCCAACACTACCAGCCTTGAATTCACAAACTGCACAGTCATTTGCCGGCACAATGAAAAAAGGAATTGCTACAAGCTACTCGTTTTCCCACGATTCCTGACCTCGGAAACAAGGTTTGAGAGAGACGCAAGTAAGCACGCTACTGTGAAAAAAAATTTTAGCTTACCCCAAAGCAAATCCTGAACATTCTCGTCAACGCTGAAGCATGAAAGAGACCTCCCCGAATCTGCACGGGCAGCTGCATGACGAGCCTTAGGTTCGGATGCGTTAGGCATAGTTCCTTCTATGGCACCTTCCATGGCACCCGATCGTCGTTTTCCTGCGCACAGACGCTATCGTAATTACACTGAGCGGCAACGCCAGACCGGAAGCATTGAATATATCTCAAACAGGTGTGGTACACTACACATGCGCGTTACGTGACTCGCAGTTATTCACTATCAGCGCGTCCTCTTTCTTTCTTTTACGTCATCGCGGGGCTGTTACGTCATCAGCTTTTAGGGGTCTCCTCGTCTTTGAGGCATCATGATATCATCTGGGGTTTTACGCGGCAAACCCAAGATACCTCGTCGCGCTGGTCTAGTGGCTAAGGTTTGATTGATATGTGGGGTTTAACGTCCCAAAACCACTATATGATTATGAGAGACGCCGTAGTGGAGGGCTCCGGAAATTTAGACCACCTGGGGTTCTTGATTGATTGATATGTGGGGTTTAACGTCCCAAAACCACTATATGATTATGAGAGACGCCGTAGTGGAGGGCTCCGGAAATTTAGACCACCTGGGGTTCTTTAACGTGCACCCAAATCTGAGCACACGGGCCTACAACATTTCCGCCTCCATCGGAAATGCAGCCGCCGCAGCCGGGATTTGAACCCGCGCCCTGCGGGTCAGCAGCCGAGTACCTTAGCCACTAGACCACCATGGTGGGGCACCACCTGTGGTTCTTTAACGTGCACCCAAATCTGAGCACACGGGCCTACAACATTTCCGCCTCCATCGGAAATGCAGCCGCCGCAGCCGGGATTTAGTAACTAAGGTATTCGGCTGCTAACCCGCAGGTCACTGGATCTAATCCCGGCCGTGGCGGCCTTATTTTCGATGGAGGAAAAACTGCCTGAGGCCAGTGTGCTTTGATTTAGGTGCACGTTGAAGAACCCCAGGTGGTCGAAATTTTCGAAGACCTACCCTACGACGTTTCTTATAATCGTATGGTGCTTTTGGGACGTTAAAAAATTTTTCTTCATATGATTTTCGTCGTCAAGCAATGCATGAGGCCTTGTCTCCCCCATGCATTGCTTCGGGGGAGACAACCCCAAGGCAAGGCGAAGGCCAGGCGATGGCCGAGAGCAGAAAAGGGCTAGAATAGATGGTGGTGAACGGCTGTACTTCTCTGTTTCAGTAGTCATTTTAATCTATTCTGTGTGCTAGAAAAACGGTGTTTGACAAAATCTATTATTTCGTCGTTTATTTTGAACCATCTCGCATTGCGGGTCCTGTGGTCGAATTTCTTATGTTTCGAAAAATTATACCATCTCCCGCTAAAGCGAACCATGTGTGAATGCAAAGCAGAGGGGAGACTGTGTAACTTATTGAGAAAACGAATGAGTATGTATAGAGAACAGAAGAGAGCGAGACGTTTTGTACGTGGTGGGACCGCCCCTGTACGAAGCCTTACTGATGAGCCTTCGTTCGATGTGCACGTGGATGGCCGCGCATTCGAGGACATTTCTAAAGAGGCATTGCACGAGTTTGTGCCCTTCGATGGACACGTTCGCGACTTGGCCTTTGATTTCGTCTTGCATGTTGTCGTGCGTGAGACGTCGAATGCTCGTTTATGGCAGACGTGGCGCGATGAGCCGTTCTTCGACCGAATTCAACTCGGGCAGGTTCTCGGGTTTCACCGGGTAGCGGTATAGCCATTGGTCACGCTCATAACGGGCACCTTGCCCGACGTTCACGCTACCTTGCAAGTCCAGCGCAGCATGAATTCACCGCGGTTACCATCGTTGTTGCTCGCCGGTCTGACCTCTTGCCACAGCACGCTGGCGACTGCGTTCCGGTGGTGTTCGTTCTGGATTCTGCCAACCTTGGTCAGGTTGTTAATGAACCAAAGCCGGTCGCACACACTGCAGCTGTGGCCGAAGCTCTGGTCGAGAAAATATCGCTCTAACCACGCGTTTGCGCTATCGGTCCCGGGTCGCAGCAGTTGCTTGAAGCATTTCGTTGCCTTCGCCGCCGACTCACGTTGCCTCGTCGCTTCTGCATCCGCCGCTCGACGTTCGCGCTTCGATTCGGCTTGGCACTTGCGCCGCCTCGATATTCTAGAGGAGAGCGAGTGGGAAGGGACGTGTGCGGGAGAGATGAACAAAACCCCCGGCTTAAGCTGCTTCGCATCTAAAAGACCAGCTTACTTTCTGCTTTCACCGTGTATTCCAAATGAGCGCGAACACAAAGCGTGAGCCACGCTCTTAATTTGACGCAGGCTTCCTAAAGCCAGCGTCAAATTTAGCGCGCGCGCCGACCATGATCACACGCCGCTACTGACGACAGCCTGAGCGCGTACCCTCCGCGCCGACGCATCGAAGCCAACGGCGCTAATATCGCCTGGGCGCCTCAAATATTCCCGAGGGGGGCACTGTGTCTCGCTCCGCCAGCTAATCCGAAATTTCGTCGATCAGGCGCGATCTCGCGCATACCATATTGATAAAACTGCGAGACCGCATACGCTTGTGTACGCACTGTGTTTCAGCCCCTCAGTTCGCATTGTAACAATAAGCCGCACGAAGGTCGCTTTGTTTGCTGCAGCAGTCACGTTTTCTTCCACATAGCGTTTTCTAGATTTAAGACAGATAGTCGGCTCTAAGTGAGTCAACTGCTATCCTTACTTCGTATATAATCCTCAAATGATTTGCTATTGCCTGAATTAGTGCTTATTTGCAGTGGTACCGAATTTTCTTCCTAAATTTTCTAGTCTTACGACACCCTCCCACAGACCCGCGATACGCGACGCATGTTGTTTAAGGCCCCATTGTGCGGAATAAATGTTTCATCAAGCAGTTAGCGCTGGTCCCCCATTCTTTTGCTTCTCGTTTTTATTGTATTGCCCATTATGTATGTATATTTTGTGCTGGAAGCTGTGCTGGTATTGTTGTGGAAGTACCATACTGACGAGTTGCTCACCATGTGACGTTGTGTTTGGTGTGTTATTACATACGGGGTAATAAAGTTTGGTTGTATCTATGGGTAGGACACCTATACAAGAAAACTTCAAAGACAGTGCGTTCTTCGCCTTCTTCCACTAATCACGCGTGTACATTGGTTGTGTATGGGGGTGATTGCGTTGACTGGCTATAATTGGATCCTCGTGTAAAGAAAATCGTTCAGCAGCTGTGAGCATAACAAGTAAAAATGTCTGCTGCAAAGATGCATCTCAAGAGCTTGCTATACTAGAGTTCGATGATGGTAAAAGCACAGCGTGCAAAATCTGCATGTAAGTCATATACACTGCAATGAATAGAGAGTGATAATAGCTGAGCGGCTCAGCGGGCCAGCGTGCCCAGTGAACGAGCTAAGACACCAACAGCGCATGCATGGCTCGTGGCGATAACCAGCGCTTGGACGGAATGAGCCACGCACTCACCCATATCGGCGCAGCGGGTGACAGGAGAGGTGAACTGCGCGTGTGCAGTCCGCTGAGAAATTCGGTGGGTTTACGGAGCGAGCTGCTAAGCCGCTCATTTCATCTCTTCAGCGAAGCGTGTGCAGCGGACGTGCTTGCGAGCGTATTCAGGATGGCAGCCCATAGAATAAAGAAGCAATCGGCAACCCCCATCACAAGTGGCGGCGATACTTTACCGGCGACACCCCCAAGTGCGGCTTAAGCTCGACTACGAGTAAAAAAAAAAGCCCCTACGATGTTTCGTGATAGAGGATGACCTAGTCAACTTAAGAGAAATGACAGCGGCGAAACCTTTTGGTGACGATCGACATAAACTGGATTGAAGTGATGAAAAATTTGAAACATGTGCTCGGCCGGGAGCTCACAGTCAGAGGCCTGAAAGAACGCGTCGGCTTCTTAACTGGTTACAAGAGACAAGAAGACACCAGAAATTTAAAAAATTAGGTACCCCTTCTCTGGACCAAAATAAAGTTTTAATCACCATCATCGTCATTGTCATCAGTAAATGGTGTGCGATATATCATAGATTGATTGATTGATTTGTGGTGTTTAACGTCCCAAAACCACGCTATGATTATGAGAGACGCTGTAGTGGAGGGCTCCGGAAATTTTGACTACCTGGGGTTCTTTAACGTGCACCCAAATCTGAGCACACGGGCCTACAACATTTCCGCCTCCATCGGAAATGCAGCCGCCGCAGCCGGGATTCGATCCCGCGACCTGCGGGTCAGCAGCCGAGTACCTTAGCCACTAGACCACCGCGGCGGGGCGCGATATATCATAGAATGGAAGGCTCGTGTTTGTGTTACGACTTTATCGAATAGTCTTTCTATGATACGTGATATGTGTACAAAACCTGCCTCACTGAATTAGCTCATTTGCCTAAATTTGCAGGAATCTTCAGCCTTCAAAGCATGAATTTACAGTTTTTGACTATGCGCCAAACGCATGAATATGAGCTGTGGCAGAAGGTGCTCGTGATTGAAGTAAGAAAAGTAGTCAATGAAGAGAAGCGGCTTGATCTGGAGGAGCACAAGCTCGGGCTTGCTGAAAGGCAACACGAATTTCAGGTGACCAATCGCCAACAGGAACACCTGGACTTGGTGAAGTGGGCGGAGCAGGCAATCGAAAATCTCAGTAACGAAATAGGTGGCCTAGCAAGAAGAACTCCGGGAGGCACATGAATAGAGAAAGCATTGGTGTGTTACAGACTTTATTGCTTCAATAAGCAAGCACAAAAAATAACGGGTGTTTAAGTACATTTCCAAGCACCATCGTTCTTGGTCAAAGTAGAGCGAGACCTGTGCACCATATAGGCAAGTGTTACAATTTGCCAGCAATGCACTCGCTTTATACACCCTTTCTACTTCATGACAAAAATCTTTTGGTTGTTTTTTTATCTACAAATGAAAACAATCTCAGCAATCTTGAGAAAAACCTCATTACACGACCTGCCTCACGCTGTTCATTGCTTTGTTAAAGGCGCATTGCTCTGGTGTCAGTGATGCGCCGCCATAAGGTTTCAGCAGTAGTGGCCGCAGTGGGTAAGCAGGGTCCCCGTAAAGGCAGTATAGTAGTGGCCCTGCACGAGCTTTTCGAGCTTCGCGTAAGCCTGGCTATTGCCAAAGTTGCCTGAAAAAAAAGTAAAATAAAACTTTTTTAGCACTACTGCTCCTGCTGATCAAACATTTGGTACAAGTTTGTTAGTAAATATAAGAGAAGCAACAGAATAGGCAAGATGCTCTGGCAGGCGTTCAGTGCGCCTGCTTATTTAACGTAATTTTATTTTCCCATCTTCCGAGATAGATGTTGGTCATGTATCAGCTTTAATCTCATAAATAGAATTGAAAACAGAAAGGCCCACAAAGAAAACACAGAACACACCAAAGAGTAATGTGCCCACATAGGTACATTTAAAACACGTTATTTCAATACACAGTGTGAAGTCTTTCGTCAAAGAATTTAAATCTAGTTTATCTTATTGTTCGACGTGATCTTCTTACGTGAACGTGGAGGAAAATGTGATTTTCAGGCATATGACATGCTCTTTACTTACCAGCACCATGCTTGCTACCTGGATAACATCCATCCGGCCGGCAAATGATGTCCTTCGGGCACATCGTAGAGTTTCATACAATAATAACTAGAGAGAATTCTGGCGCTCCGATCATGTACTTTCATGGGAATTATGGGAAGTACAGACCTCGGATTGAATCGCGCTAGCCAGCGAATTGTCTACGGGTCTTTTTCTACAGTTTCAGTTTCGTTCATAGGGTAGAGTGGGAAGTGGGGTGGGTAAAAAGGACTGATGCTGCGCCTTTGTTGTTCAAAGAAGCTGAAAACTTCTAGGCCTTTGAATTTACTGCCCCGCTTGAGCTGTAAGTAGTTTTTGACAGTTTAAGCGAAGCGTCGTCCACTCACCGCTGCGCATAGATGTAGCGTCCCATTCTAGTGCAGGATATTACATCGAGTTCGCGTTTATTGTTAGTGCGTCTTGCCAAAACTCGTTTAAGTTAACTGCAAAACGATGGCAACGCGAAGTAGGTGCACTGCCACGCTCTTCCGACACAACTTCACAACAAAACGAGAGGTGCGTTGGGGAAAGACCACTAGAACAGATGCACCTGGCAACGCAGCAGACGAAACGTTCAGCGTTTCTCACTTCATACTGTTCTATTATTTCCATAAATAGGTATTGCATACTTTCGAGGACAAAACAAGATTGATCTTTTAAATATTGTAAAGAATATTTCAATAATTTTTGATGCCAAATTTGGAACACAATGGCAGATCAATGCATACCCTGGTGGTTAAATTTGTCCAGGTTTCATTTCTACTGCCTAGTCACAAAAAACATTTTCAATAAAGTTTGCATAAAATGAAGCACGTTTCGTGTAGACATAACTTCATATCTCTTTGTTTTACAAACAGAAAACAAGCGTCACTAATCTTAAGAACGTGATGCTTCCGAAGCAGATCCGAAGCCTGTACTTTCCATAATTCCCAGGGGGGTACAAGCACCGCTGACGGAGCCCGCGTGGGCACTAGCGCCAGATTCCCCTCTAGGTATTATTGTATGAAATTCTGTGGCCCCATTATTGCCTGGTATTTCGAGGCATGGAACCTTTTGTGCTCACTAAAGTACACCTCCTGTTGTCTTGTAGGTCGGCATATAGCCCGCGCTGTGCCATCAATGGAGCCCCAACAGAGTTAGTTGGGCTGCTTTAGTGTAAATGGCCTGAAAGAAATAATAATGACAGACAGAGCCGCTCGTCATGGTGGAGGGG